TAGTTCAGAAAGAAAAAGACATGTTAGTCTGCCTACTGCTCTCGCAGGTCAGTATAGGATTTATGCTTGGTCATTATAATACGTCCTCTACGACAATCTGGGGATAGCGATTGTCCAGACAATGCTGTTGTGCCAAATAAGGCCTGTAAACTTAGTTAGCACTTGGCAGAAAAAAGTTGAAGCCGGCTTCTGAAAAAAAGTATCAAAATCACATGACCACTTTTTTTAAAAACACAATCAGCTGCGTACCCCACCAACGCCTGACTGACGTAGGGATGGAGACTGACGATCTTTGGGGACATGTTGGCCAAGGCTGCAAGGCTGTTGATGTGGAGATATTTGTCCTACAGAGACAAAATGAGAGCGTAAGGCAGAGGGCAGTTGTGCGTAAGCAACGTAAATCTAACGCTCTCCGCACACACAGCGGCAGACTCAAAAAAAAACAAGCTGCCGACGGCACAACAGAAAAGCAATTTTTCCACATCTATACTGTTTTATGCATTTGTGGCAAGTTTTACATCTATAATAGCAGTGTTTGTAATATTGTTAGTAGTGGAGGAAAGAGTACATTCGCACCAAAACCGTATGTGGACAACCTGCCATGCTGACAGAGCGCGCAAGCATTTATGTCCTTTTAAGAGAGAGATAGGAACATGGCTGAGCCCAATCTCGAGAACTCCAAAGTAGACTGAGCTGTTGCGATAAGCAGATGCCTACCGCCATGTTCGTTACTGCACCCGGTCTCAGCCCTGTAGAATTCGCCGACAGATGGAAGAAGTAGAGAGACCGACAGGGAGTGTACTTTTGTCCCTGTCCGGTCTGATCTCCTGTCTCCTCATTGAAGTAAATATGATGCGATAGGTGGAACAAAAAGTTTATTGGTCTGCCATTTCGGATTCACATCCAAACCCACTATCAGGGGCCATCGTAAGTGTGGGGTTGTATTCATCAAATCGGAGCCCCCTTGAACTACCGAAAAACGACAGCATACGTGGATTCTGTTCCTTGTTCCTTGGCGAGATACCTCATTCCTCCCATGAAAAGAGGGTCAATGCTGCCATTTCAACTATATACGACTCGACACGCCCTCCCCCCTCTGAAGCTCGATTCGTGTGGATTTAAGAGCCCGATCGTGTGTGACACACGACAACAGTCGTTCTAAACTTAGATTGGTTTGGAGAAGGGATCGATCCAG